TTTTCAATTTACACTTCTACTATATGGGAAAATATAACATAAATTAGTTCAGACCTAGAGCTAATAAATAATATTACCAAAAGTAACTTAAAAAGAAATATTAATTAAGCTATCACTGTTTTCAAAAACATCTCAATTTTAATTAGAGAACAGAGGGAGTAAGTTTGAAGTAACTTGTTTTATTTAAAATTAGTGAACAACAGAAATAGAATTTTATAACCGACAACTGTAAAATGGTTTTATGCCTCAGTGGTAGGATTTTGGCTAGAAGAAATCTGGAAATGTTAACTAGTATCTTTTCCTTGAGAAAGTTATAGAACCTTAGAGAACGAGAAAAAATTGAAAAGAAGTCAATGTATATAAAAAGATCACATAGTGTTACAGGCACTGGACACAACGGGGTTAATATAAACTGGTACAGAAAATGCAAGAACTCAAGGGCTTATGAGGAATTCTTGTGGAAGAACATTTTCTTCAGTTAAAAAGAGACATCTATATGTATTTTCAAATTTGCATTATTTTAAATAGTTTCCTTTAAAGAGATTTCTTTAGATTTAGTGTATGTTTAATTATTCCTTAACTTTGTCTAATTTTTCAAACTGTCTTGATTTTCAACATTTTTAAAAGCTTTTTAAAAGAATCAATATGCCCTAGTAAGCTTGCTTCTCGGATTTGAAGGTAAGCGTAAGGTGCACATCAACTTTTTAAGAGATTTGCTCAATCAAAGGTTAAGATGCATATAAACAGTGAAAGCATAGTATTCATCATTTGTTATCTGAAACGTAGCATCAATTGTGGTTGCTGCCAAACCAAAGAACAAAAGAAAATGATTTAAAAAGTAGATCAATTCTCAGATCTAACAATATGATACTCAGGACATGAGAGAATTCATCTAGGTGTATCAGAAGGCAACGTCAAGCATCATTCAAATGGAAAAAGTGGCTTTTCACTTCTCTAAAAACTTAAAACGCAAATGTAGTGGAATAACAACATCTTTTACATGAATATTGAAGTAGTTGCTTATTGAGGTACTTACCCAAAAATAATTAAAGCTAATATATGTCAAAAAATGATAAAGTACTTCAAAATAACAGGATGAAAATTCAAGTTAAAGGACTAAAAATTGCAGCTAGAACTGGAAATGAACGAGCATATGAAAAGAAAAAACAAAGAAATGTTTTCTTGTCTTGATAAACAGATGTGTGTGTGCTTGCGTGCACACTTCACTCAAGTATGGCCAAGATCATCAATTTTGTGAACAAATCAAATGAAGTTCTTCATAAAGAACCATCTAAAGGACATTTTCTTTGGTTAAAAGCTAGTTAAATCACGGTAAGTTCAAAAGGCCGAAGCAAAATATACATAAATACATTTTCCTTTACTTTTTTAAGAAGAATTTGTGTTCTCAGACCATCATTGTTTAAGTTAAAACAGTTTTAACCCACGAGGCAATTTTTTGTTTTTTGAAGACAGGGTCTCACTCTGTCACCCAGGCCGCCGTGCAGTGGCGCAATTTTGGCTCACTACAACCTCTGCCTCCCAGGCTCAAGCAATTCTCCAACCTCAGCCTCCTGAGTAGCTGGGACTAAAGATATGCACCACCACACACAACTAATTTTTCTATTTTTTGGCAGAGATGGAATTTTACCATCTTACCCAGGTTGGTCTTGAACTCCTGAGCTCAAGATATCCTCCCGCCTTGGCCTCCCACAGTGCTGGGATTACAGGCATGAGCACCCAGCTGGGAAATGATATTTAAGCAGTAAATACAATTGTGAAAGCTACGAATAGAAAAAAAGGGGCTAGAAATAAATACATTAAAATCGTAAATATAATCGGCCGGGCGTGGTCGCTTACGCCTTACGCCTGTAATCCCAGCACTTTGGGAGGCCAAGGCAGGTGGATCACGAGGTCAGGAGATCGAGACCATCCTGGCTAACACGGTGAAACACCATCTCTACTAAAAATACAAAAAATTAGTTGGGCATGGTGGCGGACGCCTGTAGTCCCAGCTACTCGGGAGGCTGAGGCAGGAGAATGGCGTGAACCCAGGAGGCAGAGCTTGCAGTGGGAGAGCTTCCAGTGGGCACAGATTGCGCCAGCGCACTCCAGCCTGGGTGACAGAGCAAGACTCTGTCTCAAAAAAAAAAGAGTATGTTGCAATAGGCCACACAGATTAAGATAACCTTTATAGGCCGGGCGCGGTGGCTCACGCCTGTAATCCCAGCACTTTGGGAGGCCGAGGCGGGCGGATCACGAGGTCAGGAGATCGAGACCATCCTGGCTAACACGGTGAAACACCATCTCTACTAAAAAACTAACAAAAAATTAGCTGGGCGAGGTGGCAGGCGCCTGTAGTCCCAGCTACTCGGGAGGCTGAGGCAGGAGAATGGCGTGAACCCGGGAGGCGGAGCTTGCAGTGAGCTGAGATCCACCACTGCAATCCAGCCTGGGTGACAGAGCAAGACTCCGTCTCAAAAAAAAAAAAAAAAGATAACCTTTATAAAAATTTTTAAAGCATACAAAATAGTATTGCGTATTGTTTTAATGATAGATATAAACGTAGTAAAACTATTAACAGATACACAGGAATTATAATCTCACATTCAGAATTGGTTACTGCTAATGTAGTGGAAGGTGGAGAAAAGAAAGGAAAAATAGTTATCCATACCCCCTTCCACAGTTACCTAGCTTCAACAACTACTTTCAAAATTCTGTTGTATACACTTCAGTGTTTCTTCTGTGTGTGAATATATGTAATACATACACAAACACACGGCTTCCTTTTCCACCCAGGACGAAATCTGAGAGGATTGGAAAAGTTGACGCCAGGCCCTGTGACCTCCTTTCCAACTGCTTCTTCCCACCCACACCCTTCTTCTGGATGATCTCCTCACACCCTGGAACACGCTCAAACAGTCCAAGACCTCTGCAGCTGCTCCTCTGCCTGCAACCCTCTTCCCTGTTTCATACCCGTCTGACTGTTTTACCAGTAAGATGTCATTCCAATGTCACCTCACAAAAGAGGCCTTCCTTGACCATCCCATATAGAACACCCCCTTCATCCTCTACTCGTTTTTCCTGCTTCACATTTTCTTCTTCATAGCCTGATGGTTGCCTACGTGGCATTAGGAGTATACTGCCTTCTCTCCCAGAATTTTAATTCTATTAGAACAGGCTTTGGTTTGTCTTGTTCACTGTTGTATCAACATTTCCTAGACTAGGGCTGGACATGAAGGAGCTCAATACTGACTGATCAAAAGAACTGCGGATTTCATTCTATACATATTTTGAGCCACCTTTTAAAACTTATTCTAATATGTAACTTTTATGTTACTAAACACTTCCTAATCACCATTTTTAAAGCTACACAGTATTCCAACAAGTACACAGGATATAGCAGAGTTTAAATAATCTATTGTTAGACATTTGATTTTTTAAAATATTTATAATGGACATTCTTCAGACTTTGATCAATCATCATTTCTTTAGGATAAATTCCTCAAGTAACAGGTCTTTAATACATATTATCAATGACCCTCCATAAAGGCAACACAGGTGTGCATGCACACTATGCATACCAACGGGGGAGCACGCTACATCTATACTAATGGGATGAGCACCACAGTGTTACAGTTTTACCCATGCTCAGCTCCAACGTCTCTTTCAATCTTACTAATTTAATAAGCTAAAAAGTATTCATTTACCTAGTAATTTTGTGTTTATATTACATATAAAGTTATTCATTCCTCAAATCCACCCTACTATGAAGTCTATGTGAAAGAGAAATCAAAAAATGTCCCTCAGCTTGGTTTTACTACAGGCAAACAGGAAAGCCTGACTGTGCCTGTCCAGGAAACAAGAATTGAATCTGTCTTCCAGTTCTCCTGCTTCATCTGGAGTTCTCTGGTTAGGGAGATGGAGCCTACCCAGGCCAGGACAGATCCCTCAGGAGCAGACAGCTCGGCTCTCCATGTGGAAGGCCACAACTCACGTGGCCCCCCGAAGAATGCTCTCTTCTTTCACTGAAGGAACCCTTTCACTCTCTGTGTTTCCTACCTAGATTCCTCGGGTCATTTGCCCAAAAGGGAGAAAATCCAAGAAAGGAAGTAGAGGCCAGGTGCGGTGGCTCACGCCTGTAATTCCAGCACTTTGGGAGGCTGAGGTAGGTGGATGATTTGAGGTGAGGAGTTTGAGACCAGCCTAGCCAACATGGTGAAATGCCAACTCTACTAAGAACACAAGAATAGCCAGGTGTAGTGGTACACGCCTGTAATCCTAGCTACTCAGGAGGCTGAGGTAGGAGAACTGTGTGAGTCCAGGAGGCAGAGGTTGCAGTGAGCCGAGATTGTGCCACTACACTCCAGCCTGGGCAACAGGGTGAGACTCTAGCTCCGAAAGAATAAAAATAAAGGAGGTAGTACATTTTTCCATGAAAGGAGGAAAGATGATGTATATCTTGTCTGTACAAGCTAAAAGTCAATGAAAACTATCAGCCAATAGCTTAAGACTATCAAGACAGCATATGTTTGAAATGGAAACATTCACTGACAAGCATCATTGCATCATTGGCCTTTTGAAAAACTTTATGCACTGAGATGTCAACCAGACATCGTATGTACTGCACTTGGATATTTCAGAATGCTCACCATGGTCAGGGTGTGAAGAGAGTAACAGAACAGACCCACAGCCCCATTCCCAAGAGCTGCATCACACAGGAGGGAGCTGCTGATGACCTGCACCCTTAACACAGGTGCAGAATGACCAAGGAAAACCCCTCTGCCACCGCTCTACAGGCAGCATGCTACCACCACGCTTCCCATGGTTCTCAGAGGGACTGAAGTCACTCAGCAAAATCTTTTACAAGAAGTTCAGTGATGCACTGCAACAACATCATGTTTGTAAAATCTGGTCAACTTAACTTTTAACCATCTCAACTCTTAAAACTATATTCTAAATATTTCATAATTTAACTTAATTTTTAAAGTCTTTTCTTTTACCAGAGGAGCCCAGTAGGTGTAGAGATAGCCTATTTTCAATGCTGGCACAAACTGTGAGCAGGATATTACCAGAAAATAGAGATTCAAGAAAAACTTGAATTGTTCATACAAAACCTAAAAAGGAAAAGAGAAAATTAACAAAATTCCTACAAGGAAAAAATTTAATACCTAAATTAAACAGTTAAAATCAGCACAACATATAACCACATTTCCATCAGTGAGAATATGTTCTGATTCAAAGTAAATGTATTAATTTTCACATTGGCTTTCTAATAGCTATATTACAAAGAAAGGTAAGGTTACTCCCAAAATATATTTTAAATAAACTGAAAATAAGACAATTAGGACGTTCAATTATGTTAAAAAATGTCACCTAAAAGTTTTTTTATTTTTCTTATATGAGATTTTCCAGTTTTCCATACTCATTTAGTAAGTTTTTACATGAACATCAAAAAAAGATAGCAAAACCTTCCCAATGTCAGTAAGCCAGTAAATATACAGGTGTATCTTGATAATGACTCAGAAAATCTTACAATGGAAAAGACATATTAATCTTATATTTATGAAGTGGTAAAAAACAAATAAATAGCCACATTTTTTTTTAACACGGACATCCAGGTGGCTTTACAAAGACTGAGTGAACAAGCCAAATGTGAAGAGGCTGACTTCACGAGATAGACTGCCTTAATCTCCTGTGGGTATTTACTTCCCTCAAAACATTGAAAAAGACAAAATATAAGAAGTTGTAACTGCAGACCAATTTTCAAGAAGACAACTACTCACCTACTCTTATGGTCTTTGGGTTGTTAATTCTTAATATTTTCAAATATAAAAGAAATTTCACCATTCAATAAAATATCAGGAATGTCAATACTGCAAGGTTTTGGTTTCGGTTTTTACTTCAAATCATTATCTTTAGGGACGAAAACCCAAGATCTAATATATGAATAGATCTCAATTTACAAATGTCTCTAATTATTAGATTTACACTGAAAATCAAAATGGAACAAAACTTATGTTTACAGATGAGAATAATTCAAACAGCACACCACAATTCAAATCAAACTTGCAAACCTGCAACTTACAAATCGCAATCTCTTTGGATGCCATTTCTATGCCACTTGGAAGGTATGAAAATTTCACCAAGCAGGGCAATGGGTTAAGTGCTCATTGCTGACCTACAGAGTCTGCAACTTGTTTTCAGAAAATGAGGTTATCTGCATCATCATACAGCGATGTGTGGGGCTCAAAATCAGTTACACTGACAATGCATTTATGTTCATAACCACGTTCAACCTGCTGTCTAAGAATGCTCTGAATTATTTCATAAATTAATCTCAGCAGGAAATAGAGTGCTTTTTCCTTAGTGATTTCTTTAAAATCTCAGTTAGCATAAATTATATCTATTAGCAATTTAGAAATTGCCATTTGTGGTAAAAATGACATAGAATTCCTACTGTGTAATTACCAAATGTTTCTAAAATACTACATTTTAGATGAAAAGACTAATTTCAGAGACAATCTAAGATAAAAAACTCATATACATGGTAATCATCATACAGTCACATCCACAGGTATTTTCAGCATGCAGCCAATCTGGGCAGGCTGTGTGGACTTACACTGATCAAAGTTAAGCTGCACTGCTGGCTTTAAACGACTGTAATCAATACTCTACTGTCTACTGACTGAACCTGCTGACCTTTAGGAAAACGTACACTGCTTAGCCAATCTCTGAGATCTGTGAGTATTTAATAATTTAAACCTAAGCAGAAAACAGTGGCTACATTCAATAAAGATGTGAATATTTATCTGCCTATAAGACAGTTTACATTTTATTATCCTGACAAAAGATCAGTCTTTTAATTATGAAGCCATTAGTTTTGTGGGTTTTAATAAAGAAGTACATTAGATACCAAGTATTTGCCAATCACTAGGTGGATGGGGATGAGGTGGGGGTGGAGGTAAAATCAATGCCCAATACAATGTCAGCATGATTATTTAAATTAAATATACAAGACAAAGCCGCCCACATTCCATGTAATCAAGAGCTTTTCTTGCAAATGAAAGACCTAAAACATGCCAAAAACTTTGGTATAGAAATATAATCAATACCAGCTTCCTTTTCCTTTAGAAAGATAGATAAATCTATTAAAATAAGGAATGACATACAAAAAACAAAAAGTATTCAACTATTCCAATTGTATGTGAACTGTTTTATAATTTAAGCCAGTAATATCACTAGCAACAAAAAAGTAATAAAATATTTAAACTACAGTATTCAAAATTAACATAATACCCAATTAAACATAACTAATGATATAACAATATAACAAGGTCTGAGATTTATAATGTGAAGTAGCAAAGACATCTATATATAAATATGCACATTACAGATACTTTGTTACTGTATCATTTCAATATAAAAAAAAGTTTCATTTTCTTTGTGAAATCTCTTGGCAGGGCTTAAACATTACATTTACTTTTTTCTCCAAACTAGTTCCCAGCCAAACAAAATGTATAACTTGTTTTCTGATCATTTATTTACCTTTACTTCATTATGTCTATACTATATTTCTAAAATAATATAAATATTGTTTTCAAGAACTGAAGGCAATAATCAAACTGTACATTTTCCTGAGCTGCACTCTATGATGTAGCCATTAAAAATACATGAATTATTTAACAATTATTGGGAACACAGATGGTTCAAAAGCAAAAGGACACTGATTTGGATGTGACACAACTCAATACCTAAGTCAGAGTCTCAACAGGCTCCGTCCTACAGCAAAGGAAGCCAGCAATGTCTGACACACAACCCATCTCCAAGAATGCAATAGTCTTACCCCAGGTATAAAGGTAAACACATTGTATTTTTGATTTTTTATAGAATTCCTGGGATGTTTTTCTTCACACTTTTCAGGACATCCAAGCCATACTGTGCGAGCTTTCAGTTCTTTCTTTCTTTGACAAATATTTACCAGCCAATCACAGCAACTGTATGAAACAAAAGATACATATTGTGTACTTTTTTTTTTGCTTTTTAAAAAAGTTCAAACTAATTGTACACATTTAGAGCCAATATTGATTATTTCTGTATTTATCAGACACTAATAGCACACCTAATGCTAATCTGTGGGGTTTTTCTTATAACAGGTTGGTTACACAAATTTAAATTTGACATAAAAATACAAAGTCTTATATAAATATACAATGGCTTCTAGAACCCCAGGGGAATTATCTTTCTGTTTAGACACTCTTACTGGCAAAATAAAACCATTAATATTCTGAAGCGGTCAATGCTCTGTATGTTGAGAAAAGGCACAGCTATAGGTTACCCACTGGTAATTCCCAATATACCATTCAATGATAAAAGTCCTTAGATTTCAATTAATCCAGGATGTGACTCATTCTCTGAAGTAATAACCACTTTTTCCACTCTTAAAAAATGACTTTTCCAGTAGTATTAACTAATGCAATATTAAGACTTACAGCTCAGTCCAGGCATGGTGGCTCACATCTGTAATCCCAGCACTTTGGGAGGCCAAAGCAGGCAGATCACCTGAGGTCAGGAGTTCGAGACCAGCCTGGCCAACATGGTAAAACTCTGTCTCTACTAAAAATAAAAAAATTAGCCAGCTGTGGTGGCAGGCACCTGTAATCCCAGCTACTCAGGAGGCTGAGAAAGGAGAATAGCTTGAATCTGGGAGGCAGAGGTTGCAGTGAGCCAAGACAATGCCACTGCACTTCAGCCTGGGCAAGCCTCCATCTTAAAAAAAAAAAAATGATTTACAGCTCAATCCAATATTTAAAGAGAATACAAATGTTTCCTGTGATATTCTAATGATAAAAGCTTGACTGTATTTCCACATAGCTCTCTTCATCTATGCAGTAAATATTTTAATTTTAAATTTACCCTGTTCCAATAGTGTCTGGGTTTCAGCAGCACTCTTCCCCTTCTTCGTCATCTAAACCATTATTTGGGGGTGGAGAGTATAGAGTTTCTAGTAAAGTAACTTTTCTTAAAATACTTCAGAAAATGACGAAAAGGTATCAAATTCATCTCTTTTAAGCACAAAACAATCATGAACTTAAACTTCAGTATTAACATCTTGGTTTAATTCAAATTTTCAAAATGTAGAGAAAGACTCAGAATGGCTTATTAAAGGAAGTTGTTAAATCTCACCTTCTAATTATATTCAAGGCTAGAATAGAAAGCCTGCTGTATAAGTCAAATATTCTTCATTTCGGTGACAAAGGAAGCTTAAAAGTTAACAAAAAATTTTGCATAAAAATGACAGCATACGGCTGATTATAAAATGAGGCTGACACATCAGAGCTCCATCACAGAACTGCTGTCTCCCACGCTGGAGTGCCACATCCTTACTACAATCGTAATGCTCTCATGCTTTAGAAATCACTTTACAAATACTGAAAACTTACAGGTTTCAGTATTTGAATTTATCAATTTGAATATATGAAGTAAACTTCATAAATCTCCCATAGTAGCATACCTTATGAGGCCGCATGTGTGTGTGTCTCAACTGAAGTTGGTACTATCCCTATGAATATTCATCTAATTCTCAGCTGTGCTGGGAAGACCTTCACATTGAAAGGTCAGAGGTTGGTTTTTCGGAGGCTGCCCATCCCTAACAGGGACTGTTCCAGCACGAGAAGGACTGCCAAGCACTGCTCCCTTAAGCAGCACTCTCTCACGGGGCTGATGCTCTGCCATGGGGATAGCCAAGGAAGCCGGCTCCCCGCACCCTTATTCTAGAACTTCCACCGCAGCACACAAAGACTGAGCTTTGCAAGAATGGAATATCTTAGCACTGCCATCATCACTTTTGAAACAATAAACCCAAACACCTCCAAACTGAAAGCATACTTTCAAGTCCACAGCAGTTATAAATCAGGGTGGTATTAAAGTGATTTAAGATTATCAAAACAAGTACGTTCACAATTACTATTTCTTGGTAAGGTAGGAAAGGAAATGGTCAAGTAGATTTCAGTAAAATGATGATAATATTTGATCTGTTTATGCTTGAATGAAAGAAAAATTAAATAAGGCTTCAAATAAAAAAGAGTAAGCTTTCAATGACTATTTCTCTCACCTTACCTGTTGCTTGTGTCCAGTTTGAACGCTCTCACATGCCTCCTTCCCTCCAGCACCCCCACTGTGGTGCCACGCAGACTGCGACTGCTCTGTGCTCTCCTCCACTCTATGAGTCGCCTTCCCCTCATAGGGGAAGGAGGGGCTCATGGGCACTCCTTCCCCAATTCCTCCCACCAACAGCAGCTACAAATCATCACTCTTTTACCTGGTGACAGCACACACTCCCAGTGCCAGGAAAATCCTAGTTATGTTACCTAAGAATTACCATCTCAGACACCTGCAACTACACTATACTGATGCCGGACTCCCACATTACATAGTTGAGAAAACTGGAAGTCCCACAGGCAAGTGACTTCTCTAAGACTAAACCACTAGTTAACAGCAGAGATGAAACGAGAGCCTGGATCTCAACCCCCTACCATATCAGTATCATATCCATTCACTGAGCTGACAACAGGCAGAGGCCAGCTCTTATTCAAGTTCATGCACCACCTTTCCTCAGCCCAGGCATGGCACCACAGCCATTCAAGAGATGATGAAAAAAAAAAAAAATGAATCACTTGTGAGCAGGCAACAAAACACAATGGAAAAACATGGACTTTAAAGTCATGTTTTTGGAAACAATCACCAGCAAGTGACCCTACGGAAGCTCCTTGGTCTGAGTCTTTGTTCGCTCATCTGCAAAGCACTGACGAAAGTGGACTTAATACATTACGAAAGCGTAGCACAATGCCGCCCAAGGAGGAAGCCCCCAAGGCCTCAGTCTTCACTCTCCTGCTTCCCAACATCCCACTCAAAAGGTCACCCTCCTCACAATAGTAACTTGGGCACAGAGAGTAGCCAGGCCTGGACTGTCCAAATGAGCATCCATTGGCTCCATGTGGCAACCTGCATTTCAATTAATTAAAATTAAATAAAACTTATAATCCAGTTCCCTCAGTCACATTAGCCACATCTCGAGAGCTCAGTGGGCACCTGGGCTAGTGGCTACCATAGTGGACATCACAGATGGAGAATATTCCATTACTGCAGTGAGTTCTACTGGACAGCACTGGCATCAACAGAGCACACTGCAAGCTGGGTCACAGGTGCAAGACAGGCTTCAAATGAACACATTTCTCTTCAGCATTTCAAATAGAGCAAAATTCTTCAAGAATGGAAACAGATATGAATTTTTGCTCTACGACACATAATTATCTACTCTGACGTTCTAGTATACAAAAGTCAGACAAATTCAAAATGAAAAATCAAATATTTACATCTAAGTATTTGAAAAGATACATATAAAATTTAGAAAATGTAAACTTTATAGCATTATCTGATATTAACATGTTCTTCCAGACAAAAGATACTATAAATGCAAGACCACTGTCTGCAAAACATGAGCATCGTAAACAACAGCAGCAACAGAAACCTTAACGTCAACATCACTGTCAGCAACTACATGAACTAATGCCTCACTGACATCACTCTTCTTTAGAAACTCTAAATTACATGCCCGCTGCTAAAAACATATATATTCAACATTTTACTCGGTTTTTCCTCTATAATCCTGTACCAGAAAATCTAAGATGACTACACTTTGATGATACAATTACATTATTCATATCACTGTGCTACTAATACCTGTTAACATGTAAAAATGTTATTACTAATAATTTTATTGTGTACAGACAGAATAAAGTAGTGGTTAAGACGCCACTATCAAATCATGTGTTACTACACAAAACTGAACGAATACACTTGCAACAGGCGTGAGGTGTGAAAGGCCTGCAGGTGTGCCAGAACTGCCCTTGGATCACGCAGCCAGAAACCACTACGTGGGGGAGTCAGGCGACTTCCACGCTGGGAGTAAAGGGCATGAGTCCCAAGGATACAGAAACACTGTAACGAAAACGGTAAGTTTAAGCCTCACCGAGTAGTAGAGCTAAAAAGGGAAAATGAAATATGGGGAATTTTTTGAGGACAAAAATGTGAGGAAGGCATACTGGTAAATATTGCAAAACAAGAGAGAGCAGCAAACAGAAGTCTTTCGGAGACAGCAACTGGGAGCTTTCCTCAATAGCATTTCTATGTATGCAAAATAATTTCTAAATTATTGATTATTCAGAAACATTTTCCCCTCTATATTTAAATTGCCTTACACCATCAAGTCCAGCTGAAACTAAATCCAGTAGTGTACAAGTTATACTTTTTTTCTTAAAATGTTTTAGGATAAGCAGCTTTTCATAAAATGCCTCTATAACCAAATCACAACATTAAACAAAGCATTTTAACACATCAAGAGCCTATCTTCTAAAATTTTAACTAGTCACAATTAAATAATTCCCATAGTTTTTGCCTCCTTTCTCTCCACCCCCCAAAAATTAGACAATTATTATATCCAATTTAAAAGCAACACAATGCTAATGTCTTCTTAAAAGATGACATGCTTCTGTGCCCCCAACGTCTGCCAATTAGCTGAGGACGTTAGAACTAGGAATGATCCCAGCATTTGATACCTCCCCTCCCTTCTTATGGAAATGCCATTCACTGGCTCCACTTTCCTAAGGACAAAGTGATTTTTGATAACAGGTGAAATGTAAATCTCGTGAGAAAGACATTAACCCAGACCAGAGAACTATCAATGTGCCTCACAACAGCTTACAGAAAGGTGCATTCACCCGCAGGAAAAAGATTCCGAGTTGTGAAAGACAGAAATCAGAACAATTTTTCCAAGTGTCCAAGTTGGGGTTTTTGTCAAATAAAAATGAGAAAGCAGGTCTCAAGCCATGAAGAAATTAAAGCCTACTTGCTCAGTCTTTTAATAATCATTTTAAAATGATCCTTACTACTTACAGGATCTACAAATAGAAATACACTGAAATATTTACAACTCATT